CGCCACCATGCCCAGCTAATTTTTCGTATTTTTAGTAGAGACGGGGTTTCACCATGTTGACCAGGATGGTCTCGATCTCTTGACCTCGTGATCCATCCGCCTCGGCCTCCCACAGTGCTGGGATTACAGGCTTGAGCCACCGCGCCCAGCCTCCCAAGTACTTCTTTACGATAAATTCCAGGAACTAGAAATTTGCACTAGTTGGTTGATACATTCCAAGCCACATGATGCTTGGGAGCTTAAGGTCCAGCCACTCACCTCCTTCTCTGCACCAGCTCTAACTGGTAGAGGCAGAGGAATGGCAAGCCCACATGGAAAGCAGGGGCCTCCCTTCACTGTGGCTCTCTGGCAAGAGCTGGATTGAAGTGGTCAGGCCTCCTACTTTCCATCCCACCTCTTGATTTGCAACCTTGTGAGAAAGTGGTTGGGCAGAGCACACAGCTGAACTCTCTCACCCAGCCCCTGCCAGAAAGCCTGCAAGTCATCTGGTATTTAGCAAAACAGAGAAGGCAAAAGAGCATAGCATCCAAAAGCAGCAAACGGTAGAATACAGACTTTTGAAAGAAAACTAATAAAATACAGTATACAACAGGTGCCAGGCTCTCATTAATCAACTTAGCTGGTCTTGTTTCTTTGAAAGAACTGAGCAATAGAGAAAGATGAAGACTAATTCTCCCATTGTGCTTCTCCTGTAGAGAATGAGTATTGGCTAAGGCAGGGGCCAGGGAGAGAAGAATTTTTCCTATCTTATTCAGCTGGCCAAATTATTATTCTCCCAAGCCATTGGGTTTCACCTCCAAAGCCAAATTCACTCAGAGACAGCACCAATATCAGCGTAAGCCTAGTGAGGGTTTTGCTTCAGGCAAAACCTGCCCCGGCACTGGTATAACCCTGCCTCACCTGCCTCACCTGCCTCACCTTAATCCTAGCCCCAAATCTATTTATTTATAAAAACAAGCTTCCAGCTCACAGGTCAGAGTTTGCCATTTGGTTTTTTAAAAATTCTATTCAAATATCATTTATCTGAGGTTTTAAAAATATTTTCACAGTTTATTAAGGAACAAGTAGTGTTCCGTTACACGAGTAAGTTCTTTAGTGGTGATTTGTGAGATTTTGGTGCACCCATCACCTGAACAGTATACACTGCACCCTATTTGTAGTCTTTTATTCCTCACCCCCTTCACACCCTTTCCCCTTGAGTCTCCAAAGCCCATTGTATCATTCTTATGCCTTTGCATCCTCATAGCTCCCACTTATGACTGAGAACACATGATGTTTGGTTTTCCATTCCCGAGCTACTCCACTTAGAATAACAGTCTCCAATCTCATCCAGGTCGCTGCGAATGAATTCATTCCTTCTTGTGGCTGAGTAGTATTTCATATATCACTGTTTCTTTAGCCACTTATTGATTGACGGGCATTTGGGTTGGATCCACATTTTTGCAATTGTGAATTGTGCTGCTATAAAAATGTGTGCAAGTATCTTTTTCATGTAATGACTTCTTTTCTCTGGATAGCTACCCAGTAGTGGGATTGCTGGATCAAATGGTAGTTCGACCTTTTTGTTCTTTAAGGGATCTCCACACTGTTTCCCATAGTGGTTTCCATCCCTCAGAGAAGCACAGACAAGAACCCTGAGGGAGTTCCAGAACTCCCTCCCCTAGGATCTGTCCCCCGATCCAGAAGGGACCTACTGTCACTTCTTCTTACAGACTTACGACTGCCTGGAGACATAGATTGGCCTGGGGCAGCTTGTGTGGTCAAGGCCTATTGGCCTGTTCGCCGGAATAGAAGAGGCAACATAAGACACAAAATTCTGTAGAAAAAAACCAGGCCAAGGTCATTCTTACCATGCTGTACTTTAATCCTATCTCATTTTCTCAGATAGGGCATAAGGGACTCAGGGACAATTTGGTCGAGTGGTGCATGAGAAATGATAGGCAGCCCAGTTTCTAAAGTCAGGCTGCAATCCAGACATGCAGGCCGTGGATGAGGATACTTGTCTTGGCAGAAAGACTTTGTGCCTTCGCAGTGGAGAGTCTTTCTAGTCGCGCCATCTAGAAACAGAGAGAGTAGAAGAAAATCAAAAGTCAAAATATTGTTTGAAAAGAAGAAACTTAACGTGAACATTATAAATGGAAAATGTCCCTTTTAGGACGGAAAAAGCAACCAAGCAGGTCTTCCAACCTGTGAGACAGTTAAGTGAGTCAGAGAAAAGCTACGCTGGAGTCAAAGCAGAAAGTCAAGGCAGGAGGGCCTCAGGAACATAACTGCTGTTGCATTTGATCAGCACCAGCAGCCTTAGGCATGGAATGGGAAGAAATTGTCAAGGACATCTTCCCAGCTTGGTTTTCCTGAGCGTATGCCAGGAAGACCAAGTCTGAGAGTCAAAACAGAAAGTCCCCCAGCCCGTGTGTATCTCCTTTTCAGATTGATGCTTTGACAGAAGTGGTGGCTGCAGTAAAGGGGAAAATTGAAGTCTACCTGGATGGTGGGGTCCGAACTGGCAATGACGTGCTGAAGGCTCTGGCCCTCGGGGCTAAGTGCGTGTTTCTTGGGAGACCCATCCTATGGGGTCTTGCCTGCAAGGTGAGCGTGACAAAGCTAACCAGCAAGAAGATACAGAGCTTCCCATTCATTTCCATGCTTTTCTGTGGTTCATTTTCCAAGATTGGCCATTTTCAAAGTGATTCCTAAAGGATAGTTACACCTGACCTGCATCTCCATGCCTTCTCTGAAGCATACTGCAAAACATCAATAGCTCTCATCCCCTATCTTTGTCTCCATGCTTTCCTTTACTCCCAAAGGAATTCTCGCTTCACAGAGATTCCCCTACCTTCCCATCATAGCGCTGACTATATCTAGAATTTATACTCAGTGGATCGTCAGAATGTTCCTTCATGTGTCTTTGTGTCTTTGTCTGCCTTGGGAGCAGGGTGAACACGGTGTTAAGGAAGTTTTGAACATTTTAACAAATGAATTCCGCACTTCCATGGCCCTTACAGGTAAGTTAAAAACATTTTTTTTTTTTTCCTGATTTGGAACTTAACGCAGGATGACTAAAGAACAGGAGCAGCCGTCCTTCCCTCCAGCTGACCCTTACCTGGTGCGGCAGCTGTCCAGAAGGTAGGCCAGGGAGGTGACATTCACCACAAAGATTAAGCACTATTCTTTGCCCAGTGAAAATCAGAGCTCTCCTCAAGGTCACTGTCAGTTCTGGGGAGTGTCACCTCTGGTTCTGAATTCCTGCTTCTGTTGAATTTGTTCAATTGATGGGCTATTGATATATCCCATGCCTGCCGCCTCTGTCCACTCCAATCAACCGAGGCATGAAGCTCAACTCTTTTCTATGCTTCTATTTTTAGGAAAAGACCCTCTCATTAGTATATTTTTGTGAATAATACGTTTTGCCAAAGTTATGGAGCATACATCATAAATATGGAATGAACTCCCAGTTAAACATTACACAGCCTGTTGCTGAATTCTTTCAGTCTCTCGTCTCCAGGGACTTCCCATTGCCTGGTCAAGCCCACAACTCCCCGGCCCCATAACATCACACCAGCTTCTCTTTCTCCCCTCTTTAATTATCTGGAGTTACTCTCTTCAATCCTTATGTCCAATCTGAGCCACAGTTATAACTTTCCATATTAATTAAGATCTTCTTCTAAAGAAGAGTCTTTTCCTTTAACAGGACTTTCCCTTAGACGGCAATTGTTATGTGGAGTATTCACCCTATCTCGTTCACTGTGTGTCATATTCTTCCCTAACAGATACTTCCTATATCCCTGAGCCTTATCAGAACCAAGATAAAGATGAAGGACATCTATTGCACATGAAAATTGATTTAGAAAATGCTAAAATAGGGATTTTATAGGTTACCCTGACATTTTGACATGGCTGTGTTCAGAGATGACATGGGCCCGGGTTCACAGAATAATTCCCAATGCAAACAGAATTACACCATTCATTCTGTATGTAAACCATTTTGTAAGAGTGAGCGCAAAGATCAAGTCAGACTTGCTCCCCTTCATCACCCCTCACCCGTAAGGCAGTGAGTTGCTGGTGTTTGAGAGAAATGAGCTTGTAACCACATTGTTCTTTTAGGCTGCCGGTCGGTCGCTGAGATCAATCGACATTTGATCCAGTTTTCCAGGCTGTAAGAAAAAAGAGCTAATAGCCAGACTGCTGAGGTTGCCCACAGGAGGATCACAAACTCACAGCACAGTGTGTGATGCTGTCCCGCCTGGAACCCATCCTTCCCGGAGGCTTATGCACCATACTCCTAATCCCTCCACCCCCGTGTTTCAGGTTCTCCAAATCCCTTGTGTTCCTCAAATGTGCCATGCTTTTCTTTGCTTCCCTGACTACTATATGTTGTTCTCTTGCCTAAAACCTTCCTCTGAAGCGAAAGATCTCAAGGGGACAGATCATCAATCACTGGAACAACTAGTGGGTTATATTTTTTGCATACTCTACATAAACTCTATGAAACGACTGTAGAACTTTGCACTCTGCACAGAGGAGCTGTACATACAAAGCATTTTTCCAACCAAAAAAATAGACCTATCTATAGAAAATAGGGAAATAGTGAAGGACATAGACTTTGGAGCCACACAGATGGATTTGACAGTCAGGACTACTGCTGGCAAGCCGAGTGACTTGGGCGTGTTTTCTTATCTCTCTGTGTTTCTGAGTCCCGGACTGTAAAATGGGGATTACACTCCCTCAGCTAGTAGTTTGGGAAAAAGTTTAAGTAAGATAATGTATTTGAAGTTCAGAACACAATGCTTAACACGTAGTACAAGTTTAAGAAATAGGAGTATTTCATATATATAACATATATACAGATACATATATACATATACATATAGTATTGTTTGGAAAATTCCTATTAACTTTTCAAGGCCTTGTTCAACTGTCACCGAATATTAACCCTGGCTATTTGCTTAGTGCTTCCTATTGTACTTTGCACATTCCAATATTACAGCCCTTACTATAGTGTGCCATGTTTCTTTATTTGCATATCTGTCTCCACAAATAGACAAATAGACAATGAATGGCTCCAGACAAGAAACTGTATGTTTGATCCTGGGCTTGCTATATAGTAACATCTCATTGAACATTTCTGGGATGGATAGATGGATGGATGGGTGGATAGAGGGATAGATAAAGGAGAGGTGGAAAATAAATAAATGACCTATCAGCATAAAACCTCCCGAGACCAGTAGTCAGCTAGAATAGATTTCAAGAGCAGGGGTACCCAGCTGAATAAGACCTGACACTTGAAGACATCGAGAAGGTTACAGATGGCTGGGCATGAAGGCTCATGCCTATAATCCCAGTACTCCGGGATGCCGAGGCAGGAGGATCACTTGAACCTAGAATTTTGAGACCTCAGTGGGCAAAATAGGGAGAACTCTGCAAAATTAAAAATTTGTTACAAACCTAGCCGGGCGTGCTGGTGAGCAGCTGTGGTCCCAGCCACTCTGGAGGCTGAGGTAGGAGAATCACATGGTCTGGGAAGTTGAAGATCGTGCCACTGCACTCCAGCATTCTGGGTGACAGTGCAAGACCCCACCTCAAAACAACAACAACAGCAAAAACAAACAAACAAACAAACGAACACAAAAAAGAAGATTAGAGAAAAAAATCCATGCCTAAAGTAATAGCTTCAGCAATGGTTTCCCCATCATCTCTCCAGCTGCTTGCCGCACTCAGTTCTCCACACAACAGCCTGAGAGAGTTTTTTAAAGCAAAATCAAATCCTACGTCTCACCTATTTAAAACCTTTCTATAGCTTTCCATTCCACTTGGTCTGCACTCTAGACTGATCCCCAGCTCTCCGGGCCCCCATGATCTGCTCCTCCTCCCAACTGTTTCCTTATCACCCTCCTTTTCACTCGCAAGACCGCAGCCAGGTCTCCCTTCTATTCCATTAACAAGCAAAAACTAGCCGCCTCCGGATCTTCACCTTTATCAATCCCTTTCCATAAAACGGTGTTCCTCACCTTCTCATGGTTTGCTCTCTGTTGACGTGTAGATCTCAGCTGAACTGTCACAGCCCTGATGAGGGGAGACGTCCCCGACCATCCTGCTCCGAATGCTCTTTGCTTCACTCATCACATCACCCTGTTTCTCCCCTCCTAGCTGTTACCACCACCTGCAACTAACTTATCAGTTGTCTATTTTATTGTCTATCTGTACTTGCATAGAGACCTTAGACTGCCTTGCTCCCTGATACGTTCCCAAGGGCCTAGAATCATGCCCAATGTCATATAGGGCCCATAAATATTTATTAAATAAATTAATCCAGGAAGGGAAAGTTGGATCAAATTACATCATCAGATCTGGAGAATTATAGTAGTCAGAGGAGGAAAACAGTGACATAGGATGGAACCCAGCAGAATGGGTCACTGCGTAAGCCAACAGATCTAAAAAGTCTTCTGTTATTCCTTGACTGGGCACTTCCCTGCATGAACCCATGCCATAGTGCAGGTCCACTTTTGTCCAGATTAACCCACAGAGCCAAGGGCTGGGTGAAGGGAACATTAGCATGGGAAACACCAAAAGACAAAGCATTCCCACAGCAGTTGCCCTGGTAATAACCTTTAAGGCTTACTTGCTTAACCTAAATATATGTGTAGGGCATGTACCACCCACATATTTAGAAAGGGAAAATGAAGTTTGGTCATACAGCCTGCTTGCCTACAACTGCAATTCAGAACCCAGAATTCAGAAGTGAATACCCAAACTTTCAAATCAGCAGTTCCTTTAAAAAAAAAAAAAAAGTTCACAAAGTGTATGACGCAAAGAAGTCCCTTTGATTCTTCTCAGAACAAAAGATCTTAAAAGGGCAGATCAGAAACGACTGAAATAACCAGTGGATTATAACATTTTGCATATCCTTTATATCTCTATGAAATAACTGTGGAACTTTGCACTCTGGACAGAAGAGCTATACTTACAAAATATGCCCCAACAATGATCATACTATCTATTAAACAAGGCAGCATAGACAAACCAAATGAAAAGAAAGAAAAGCAGATGTTGTTGTTAGAATACTTGGAAGAGCAACGGATACTTTGGAGAATTGTGGTCATTGAAAAGGGGCTCAGAAAGCTAAATTAGATATAATTGTTAATGAGTTGATAAAAAGAAAAGGGAAATTGACTATGATCCCAGTTTTTGACCTTCACTTTTTATTTAGGTGTCAAATTGCCTGCTGTATTGGTAGGCTGATAATATGAGGTCAAGGAGGGGTCTTCAGTCTGGCGGCAAGGATGGCGGGCTTGTGCTGAAGGTTTGGGGAAATACTAAGAAAGCACATGTCTGGGGCGACTGTCTGGCTGACACAGAAGTCACAGTTGCATTGTGGGACAGGAGGCTTAGACGAGCATGGGCCTTGAAGATGACCTTCGACAACCTGATTTGCATGGCAACATGTGACTTGTAAAAAATGGAAGCTTCATGATTTAGTCTGTTTGTGCTAGTGTAACAAAATATATGAGATCAGATAATTTATAAACAGCAGAAACTAACTTCTCATGTTCCAGAGGCTGGGAAGTCTGGTGAGAGCCCAATGTCTCCTTCCAAGATAATTTCTTGTTGCTGCAGCCTCTGCGGGAGATGGACACTGTGTCCTCACATGGTGGAGAAATGGAAGGGGCCACCTAGTTCCCTCAAGCCCTTTTTTAAGGTCACCAATCCCATTCATGAGGGCCCTGTTCTCATATGTTAATCACTTCCTAATGACCCCACCTCTAAATACTATCACATTGGCAATTAAATTTCAACATATGAATTTGGAGGGAACACATTCAGACCATACAATTTTACAAGATCAGGAAGGAATGTGGGACAAGGGTAATCTTGGTATACCCTAACTCATGTGTTGCTGAAATGAACTTTAGGAATATTTTTTATTTTGAGTCACGCAGCCAAGGCCAGAGACAAGACAGAACAGAGGAGCAAAGGAAAGCCTAAAATATTCATTGTCATGAACTAGGATGTTATAGGATTTTATGACCCATTGACTAATGTTATTCTGTGCAATACACTGACCTCCAAGAAAAGTAGCAGAAAGAGAGTTTTGGATAAGAGATTCAGGGACTCTGGAAACAAATTAATATTAACTAGTCCAGTTCTTCTACAGTAAATGAGAAAAAAGATATCTTTATTTTGGTCATATTGGATAGTTTTAGTATTTAGATGGAGGCTTTCTCAATACAGTACTAAAGAGCTAAACTAATGGCAGAGATTTAAGTCTAAGAAATCTTACCCAGGGGTCCCCAAGAACATGGCCTCAGACAGCGAGCAGACTCATGAGAGAGCTGTCCCACGAGCCACTTCCCACAGCATATGGCCAAACTTAGACAGACTTTGCTCTCCTCTGGCCTGTACCTCAGCCCTCATGCCCTTGTCCTCCATCAGGAATCAGCCTCACAGGCAGTGGGACCTGGTGCCCTTGCTAGAACTTTACTCTGTGGAATTTTGCTTCTAGAGAAAGCGAACTTTTTGTCAGATACCGTTTTTTCAGCCTCATTCTATTTATGTTAAGTTTATAACTATGGTCTCATGATTCTCCTCACATCAGAAAAAGATAAGAACATCTCAGTATTAAATTGTTCTTCTGATTATGTAAACAAGCAAAGCCTTCAAGACAAGACTTGAAATTAGAGAAAACAAAAGTAGGTTAACATCCACCCCTCCAAACACTCAATCACAGTCTTGTAAATTAACTTTTGTTCATGCTTTCATGCAAACTAGTGATCATGTCGCAAAATTTCCCAAAGGTTCTTTTATTACAGGGACTTCAATGCAGGTATTAATTGTCTGCTTAAGGTCATCTCTTTGACCCTGAAATCACCAGCTGAGGACCTGTGGGAGACATTACAGATTGGTTTGGGGTAAGAATGAAACAAATCACATGAGCATATGGTGTTAAAGTAATGTGATATACAGACAATGACATTAGCTTACTTTATAAGAGAGCGCAGTAGAAGCTCTTTGTATACATCCACCTGATGACAGCTATGTTCCCAGATACGTGTGTAATTTTTTGTGTCTGGGTTCTGTGTCTAGATCCAAAATTATAAGGGAAATGAGCAAGAATATTATCAAGGTAATAACAAAAAGACTGTTGTCTATTGCTCGGAAACAAGAAAAAAGGAATGTCCACAGTAAACTGAAGAGATGCATGTGAAATCTCAGATGCAATCTCTTAACTCCTAAAAATGTCTTACATTTGGAATGCAATCTGTTATAAGGATAGTCAAAAGACCTGAACAGACACCTAACCAAAGAAGATATATTGATTACAAAAAAAAAAAAAAAAGCATATGAAAAGACAGGTAAAAGACCTGAACAGACATCCACCAAAGAAGATACATAGATTTCAAAAAAAAGCACATGAAAAGATACTCAACATCATATGTCATTAGAGAATTTCAAACTAAAACAAAAATGAGATACCACTGCACACCCATTACAATGGCAAAATCCATAACACTGACAACACCAAATGCTAGCAAGAATGTGGAGCATCAGGAATGTCATCCATTGCTAGTGGGATGCAAAATGGTACAGACACTTTGTAAGGCAGCTTGGCAGCTTCTTATAAAACTAAATATATTCTTACCATATGATCCAGAAGTCATGCTCCACTGCATTTACACAAATAAATTGGGAACTGATTTCTACACCAAAGCCTACTTTTAGGTTAGATTGTTATAGTAATTTTATTCATGATTGTCAAAACTTGGAAGCAGCCAAATTGTCCGTCAGTAGGTGAATGGATAAACATATCCAGACAATGGAATATTATCAGTGCTTTAAAAAAAAGAAGAAAACTGTCAAGCCATAAAAAGACGTGGAAGAAACTTAAATGTATATTACATAATGCAAGAAACCAATATGAACAGGCTACACGCAGTGTGATTCCAAATATATGACATTCTGGAAAAGATAAAACCTTGGAGATGGTAAAAAGATCAATGGCTGTTAATTTCAGGTGTGCAGAGGGATGAAGAGGCAGAGGACAGAGGATTTTTAGGGAAGATGATACTATAATGGTGG